CTAATTTGGGGGAAATGTCACAAACAAGGTTTTCTATATAGTAGATGTCAATTGATGTCACTATGATCTGATACCTTTACAGTACTGTATACCTTGTACTGTACTTTTTAAACCTTGTACGTATTTGTATACCTTTACAGTACTTGTATACCTTGTACTGTACTTGTAGCCTTGTACATTACTTGTATCCTTTCAGTACTTGAACCTTGTACATGTACTTTATCCCTTTTACATGTACTTTTACTTGAACTGAAATTGTAGCAATAAAGATATACCGCATTTTTACCCGGGTATTTTTGAGGGGGCTTGCCCCGGGGGCGACAACCGCGAAGTCACAGCGGTCGTCTCCGGATGACGGGGGGCACAGTACCACCACTACTGGGGGTTATAAAAAACGTAGCCGGGCCTGATTTTAAACAGACAAATTTTAAAAAAACTTGACAGAAATACCCCTTCATTTTCCTGCGGGTAAAAAGGAAAAATGGATTCAAATTGGGTAAATTTGGATTTAGAAGGGGTATAGAAAAGTACTGGTTTTTAAAGAGAGAGTTGAGATGGGATGTGGGGTCTGGTGGCCTGTGGCTAAAGTTCTCGCTTCCCACACGGAGGGGCTGGGTTCGATTTCCCCGCCAGGGTTTCAAACTTTGGCGGTCCCGTTTCACCCATCAGAAAAAGTGACCTGGGTGTTTGTGGACTGGGGATGGGGCGCTCCTGGTGTTAGGGGCGTGTGGTCGGGTCCTGAGTGTTAGTGGACTGGGGTGGGTCAGATCCTGGGTGTTAGTGGGCTGGTGTGGGTCACATCCTGGGTGTTAGGGCTGGTAGGGGCACATCCTGGGTGTTTTTTGGGGCTGGGGTGGGGCACATCCTGGTTTAGTGGACTGATGTGGGTGGGACCTGGTGTTAGGAACGGTGTGGGTCACACCTGGGTGTTTGTGGCTTGGGGTGGAAACCTGGTGTTATGGACTGGTGTGGGGCACATCCTGGGGGTTTTGTGGACTGGGGGTGGGTCACATCCTGGTGTTATGGGCGGTGTGGGGCACTCCTGGGGGTAGTGGACTGGGGTTGGGGCAAAATCCTGGGGGGTTTGGGACTGGTGTGGGTCGCACCCGGGGGCAAAGCTGACCTAATTTCAGGAAAAAGCCACAAAAAAAGCGGCTTTCTATATAGTATATGTCATTGATGTCAGCTAGATCTGTATACCTTGTACTTACTTTTTTTTCCTTTACATGTATTTAACCTTTACATGAGCCAACAGTAAGTCTTAGGTTTTAAAAACAGTACTTCAGGGAACTGCAACTGTTTTGAAAAGTAAACAAAACTAAACATTGACCCTGCGGGTAGATCTGGGTTAAACCTCAAACCGGACTCATCCTGGGGGGTGGAAACATGCCTGCACTTTAAAGGAGGACTTTTTCGATTTGACAGTTTTTTAGGGACCAAAAAAGCGTACGAAGCCTCTGCAAAACATGATTATTGTGAGGTGAAAGTGTTGAATGATATGAAAGTTTTTTTTTTTGGGGATTTTCCCCTTTTTTTTGTGTCATCCCGCCCGTGGGAACAGCCGACTTCTTGAAAAAATTTTATATATAATATATATATATATATATATATATAATATATATATATATATATATATATATATATATATAATATATATATATATATAATAAACTATAGTGTAAAACACCACTCTGTCTTGCCTGAGGGGTGTTTTATGCTACAGTTTATTAAACTGTAGTATGTTAAACAGTGTTTTAAACTGTACTTCCCATCTCCAGGACTCAAGTCCTCCCTGCCGGTTTCCCTGAATCCCTTCATAAATGTTACTTTGCTCACACTCCAACAGCACGTCAAGTATTAAAAACCATGTCTCCATTCACTCCTATCAAACACGCTCACGCATGCCTGCTGGAAGTCCAAGCCCCTCGCACACAAAACCTCCTTTACCCCCTCCCTCCAACCTTTCCTAGGCCGACCCCTACCCCACCTTCCCTCCGTTACTCATTCTGTTTCGATCCATTCTCTCGATCCATGTCCTCAACAACCCTTCCTCAGCCCTCTGGACAACAGTTTTGGTAATCCCGCACCTCGTCCTAACTTCCAAACTACGAATTTTCTGAATTATATTCACACCACACATTGCCCTCAGACATGACATCTCCACTGCCTCCAGCCTTCTCCTCGCTGCAACATTCATCACCCATGCTTCACACCCATATAAGAGCATTGGTAAAACTATACTCTCATACATTCCCCTCTTTGCCTCCAAGGACAAAGTTCTTTGTCTCCACAGATTCCTCAGTGCCGCTCTCACCTTTTTCCCCTCATCAGTTCTATGATTCACCTCATCCTTCATAGACCCATCTGCTGACACGTCCACTCCCAGATATCTGAATACATTCACCTCCTCCATACTCTCTCCCTAAGATCTGATATCCAGTCTTCCATTACCTAATTTTTTTGTTATCCTCATAACCTTACTCTTTCCTATATTCACTTTTAATTTTCTTCTTTTACATACCCTACCAAATTCATCCACCAACCTCTGCAACTTCTCTTCAGAATCTCCCAAAAGCACAGTGTCATCAGCAAAGAGCAACTGTGGCAACTCCCACTTTGTGTTTGATTCTGAACAACCACGGTGACATCACGCATCCTTGTCTAAGACCTACTTTTACTGGGAAATAATCTCTCTCCTACATACTCTAACCTGAGCCTCACTATCCTCTTAAAAAGTCTTCATTGCTTTCAGTAACCTACCTCCTATACCATACACCTGCAACATCTGCCACATTGCCCTCCTATCCACCCTGTCATACACCTTTTCTAAATCCATAAATGCCACAAAAACCTCTTTACCATTATCTAAATACTGTTCACCTATATGTTTCACTGTAAACACCTGGTCTACACACCCCCTACCTTTCCTAAAGCCTCCTTGTTCATCTGTTATCCTACTCTCTGTCTTACTCTTAATTCTTTCAATAATAACTCTACCACACACTTAAGAACATAAGAAAGAAGGAACACTGCAACAGGCTTACTGACCCATGAGGAGCAGGTCCATGTCCCCCATCCCCCGGATTAGCCCAATGACCCACCCAGTCTGGTCACCTCCACTCAAGGATGGAGCACGGCACCAGACCCAGCAGCACAAACTAGTCAGGTCCAACTCGCAAACACCCACACCCACTCATGTATTTATCTAACCTATTTTTGAAACTACACAACGTTTTAGCCTCAATAACTGTACTTTGGAGTTTGTTCCACTCATCCACAACTCTATTACCAAACCAGTGCTTTCTTATATCCTTCCTGAATCTGAATTTTTCCAACTTGAAACGACTGCTGTGAGTCCTGTCTTGACTGGAAATTTTCAGCACGCTATTTACATCCCCTTTATTTATTCCTGTTTTCCATTTATACACCTCGATCATATCCCCCGTAATTCTGCGCCTTTCTAGAGAGTGCAGATTCAGGGCCTCAGTCTATCCTCATAGGGAAGATTTCTGATACATGGGATCATCTTTGTCATCCTCCTCTGTACGTTTTCCAGAGCATTTATATCCATTCTGTAATACGGTGACCAGAACTGAGCAGCATAGTCTAAATGAGGCCTATACAAGTATATATAGAGTTGAAGAATAACCTGAGGACTTCTATTATTTATACTTCTAGATATGAAGCCAAGAATTTTGTTAGCTTTATTGCGAACACTAATGCACTGTTGTCTTGGTTTTAGATTACTGCTAACCAGAACTCCTAAATCCTTTTCTCAATCAGTAGTATTAAGATCTACATTATTTAGTTTATATGTCGCATGGTTATTTTCCTGTCCAACATTTAGAACTTTGCATTTGTCAATATTAAACTGCATCTGCCACTTCTCCGACCATTGCATCAGTCTATTCAAATCATCCTGGAGTGCTCTAGTGTCCTCATTAGAATGAATTGGACGGCCTATTTTGATGTCATCAGCAAATTTGCTTATGTCGCTATTTATTCCCTCATCTATGTCGTTTATGTAAATTGTGAACAACAACGGGCCCAACACTGACCCCTGAGGAACACCGCTTGTGACCTGCCTCCATTCTGATTTCTCCCCATTTATGCAAACTCTTATTCCCCTATAATTTTTACACTCTCTTTTGTCCTTTTTGCCTTTATATAAAGGAACTATGCATGCTCTCTGCCACTCCCTAGGTACCTTACCCTCTTCCATACGTGTTAAATATTAGCACAACCACTCCAAAACAATATCCCCACCTGCTTTAAACATTTCTATCTTTATCCCATCAATCCCAGCTGCCTTACCCCCTTTCATTCTACCCACTGTCTCACGAACTTCCCTCACACTCACTATGTATATATATATATATATAGGGAAGTACCACCTCTATAGCTGGACTGGAGACCCTCATCCTCAGAGAAGACAATAAACGTACCTCAGGGAAACTCAAGGTTCTCCCCGGAGTTGTTTGAATATTTTCTTCTCCTACCACCCCCTATATTTTATATTCTATGTAAACATTTATTAATAAACAGAATACATTTACAGAAAACACAAACATGAATACAATGGTACAATGTATTAAAGATCATGAATTTCCTCATGAATATCTTGCCTTGTGTAGTATACATAAATATTAATTTCATCAAAATTCTATACATGTTCTGTCTATCCTGAAAATAGGTGAAAATAAACTGATCTAAAATAGGGTTTTGGAAATACAAGAATTCTTCGACTGTATCTGTTAAACACTTTTGTCAAAGATACATGTTGCAGAATGATAACTGGAACAACGTTTTGCTCTGTGTGCTCTATGCAGAGCGAAACGTTGTCACAATAACCTGTTTTACAGTTTCATGTCTTCACTTTTTGTTTGTAGCAGACAAAGTAAACTGACAGATGGTTAATATCAAAGACATATAAACACAGAGTTCTGCCCTCTCTTTCTTTGATGTTCACTAAAGTCTTAATAAAACCAAAACGTTGCTGTTTACGTGTCTTTTCTTCACCGTAGAATGTCAAATGTCAGGAAAAAAAAACAGGTAATTTTACCCACACTGGAGAGTACGAGTTTCTTGTCCCTGGGAATGACTGTGACTGGCGTACCAATGGTATTACCCACACAGTTAATACGCTGTGACTGACTGTACCAGATCTCCAGCTCATAGTGAGAGAAGTTGTATACAGGTTTTTCTGTCCACTTGACATACAGATTCCGGCTGTGGAGGAATGATAAGAGTAAGGTTCCATTGACTGTATAATAATAATAATAATAATAATAATAATAATAATAATAATAATAATAATAATAATAATCTTTATTTCTACAAGTATAGTACATGTACAACGTATTTCTACCCGGTTCGTGTGGAAACATGTTTTCTTAAGATACCTGCTGTCACTGTTCACCTAGCAGGAAGTAGGTACCTGGGTGTTGGTGGACTTGTGTGGGTCGCATCCTGGGTGTTAGTGGACTGGTGTGGGTCACATCCTGGGTGTTAGTGGACTGGTGTGGGTCACATCCTGGGTGTTAGTGGCCTGGTGTGGGTCACATCCTGGGTGTTAGTGGACTGGTGTGGGTCACATCCTGGGTGTTGGTGGACTTGTGTGGGTCACATCCTGGGTGTTAGTGGACTGGTGTGGGTCATATCCTGGGTGATAGTGGACTGGTGTGGGTCACATCCTGGGTGTTGGTGGACTTGTGTGGGTCATATCCTGGGTGTTAGTGGCCTGGTGTGGGTCACATCCTGGGTGTTAGTGGACTGGTGTGGGTCACATCCTGGGTGTTAGTGGACTGGTGTGGGTCACATCCTGGGTGTTAGTGGACTGGTGTGGGTCACATCCTGGGTGTTGGTGGACTTGTGTGGGTCACATCCTGGGTGTTAGTGGACTGGTGTGGGGTCCACATCCTGGGTGTTGGGGACTTGTGTGGGTCACATCCTGGTGGTTAGTGGACTGGTGTGGGTCACATCCTGGGGTGTTAGTGGACTGTGTGGGTCACATCCTGGGTGTTAGTGGACTGGTGTGGGTCACATCCTGGGTGTTAGTGGACTGGTGTGGGTCACATCCTGGGTGTTAGTGGACTGGTGTGGGTCACATCCTGGGTGTTAGTGGACTGGTGTGGGTCACATCCTGGGTGTTGGTGGACTTGTGTGGGTCACATCCTGGGTGTTAGTGGACTGGTGTGGGTCACATCCTGGGACAAAACTGACCTAATTTGCGGGAAATGCTCAGCATAACAAGCGGCTTTCTATATAGTAGTATGTCACTGATGTCAACTATGATCTGTATACCATGTACATGTACTTGTATACCTTGTACATGTACTTGTATACCTTGTACATGTACTTGTATACCTTGTACATGTACTTGTATACCTTGTACATGTACTTGTATACCTTGTAATGTACTGGTATACCTTGTACATGTACTTGTATACCTTGTACATGTACTTGTATACCTTGTACATGTACTGGTATACCTTGTACATGTACTTGTATACCTTGTACATGTACTTGTATACCTTGTACATGTACTTGTATACCTTGTACATGTACTTGTATACCTTGTACATGTACTTGTATACCTTGTACATGTACTTGTATACCTTGTACATGTACTTGTATACCTTGTACATGTACTTGTAGTAAATAAAGAGTATTATTACTGCTATATATTAATTTTGTATCCCTTTAACCTATACTAAAAGCACCGGGTAGCGAGTACTATGTATATGCAAGAGTACGAACTAGAGGAGGCTCTGGCTTCATATTAACGGGATAGTGATGGTACCACATAAAATGAAAATAAGTCACTCTGTCTGAGTTTTTTGGGGTTATCCCAGGTTCTCTACACATATGCTGCTGTGTATGTATTTATTTAGAAATTTTAGCATACAAACAGAGGTACAAAAAATACAGGTAAGAGCAGCATGCCAAAGCCACTTATATGCATAGCATTACGGGCTGGCTTAAAATTAACTTAAGATTAACTAAGCAATGATGAAATCAGTGATAAGACATTATTGTAAACAGATAACTATAAAATACAAATGAGTATTACAAAGACAGGTCCTATGGTTGCATGCATTGCTGTTCATTCAGTAGACTGGAGTATTCTGTTAGGTAGTGTATGATAATCTATGTAACTGTATTTGTGTACCTGAATAAACTTACTACCTCCATGGATAATGCTGTTTTTGCGCGTGTTTGTGTGTGACCTAACTCATGTCTGCATAAATAACTCATTACGACTGTGACCAGATGTAAGCATGTAACTTGTTCGTTACCACTGTAACTTGTTCGTTACCATTGTAACTTGTTCGTTACCACTGTAACTTGTTCGTTACCACTGTAACTTGTTCGTTACCACTGTAACTTGTTCGTTACCACTGTAACTTGTTCGTTACCACTGTAACTTGTTCGTTACCACTGTAACTTGTTCGTTACTACTGTAACTTGTTCGTTACCACTGTAACTTGTTCGTTACCACTGTAACTTGTTCGTTACCACTGTAAACTTGTTCGTTACCACTGTAACTTGTTCGTTACCACTGTAACTTGTTCGTTACCACTGTAACTTGTTCGTTACCACTGTAACTTGTCGTTACCACTGTAACTTGTTCGTTACCACTGTAACTTGTTCGTTACCACTGTAACTTGTTCGTTACCACTGTAACTTGTTCGTTACCACTGTAACTTGTTCGTTACCACTGTAACTTGTTCGTTACCACTGTAACTGTTCGTTACCACTGTAACTTGTTCATTACCACTGTAACTTGTTCGTTACCACTGTAACTTGTTCGTTACCACTGTAACTTATTCATTACCACTGTAACTTATTCATTACCACTGTAACTTGTTCGTTACCACTGTAACTTGTTCGTTACCACTGTAACTTATTCATTACCACTGTAACTTGTTCATTACCACTGTAACTTGTTCAGTTATCAAAACTTTGCGGTACAGTCCCTGGACCATTATGTACCTCTGTAGTCTTTTGACTACCACCCACAGGATGGGTATGGGGTATAAAATAAAACTATTAAGGTACCCCACGTAGCTTCAACAAACTACCCACCTTCCAACAGGTTCACTATTACACATTTAAACACATTTGCTTAGTCGATACTTATTCTATTTTTCTTAACCTAACTGTTGCTTATTACAGACAGTCCCGCGATGACGTGCTGTCTTTTTTGGGTTACCCTGGATAGCTAACTCTCCGGGGTTAAAAATCCCAACAAAATGTTATCTTACCAAACCTCTCGACTCACGAAATCGTAATGACACGATTGCAAACAAACCATACCACGGGTGGGGTTAGAACCCGCGGTCAGAGAGTCTCAAAACTCCAGACCGACCCGTCGGTCTGGAGTTTTGAGACTCTCTGACCGCGGGTTCTAACCCCGCCCGTGGCATAGTTTGTTTACCAAACGTCTTTCTATACGAAGTTCAGTTCGTGGTCCCCATCACCATTAACCCCTGACACTACACACCACCGCGCCCTCTACACCAGTTTCTCTTAATTTAGCATTTAGATCCCTCAATAGCCATTATTATCTCGGTTTGAACATTTCTCAGAATCTCCTTTAATCTGTTAAAATAAAGAAAGATAGCTATGTAAAATAAGGAAATAATTCCCTTTGTTTCTTTTTGGATTATAATATGTAATTTACACTATGTAAATTACATAGACACAGGTATACATACCTATGTATACCTGTGTCTAAATAAACTTCTCTTATCTTACACATTTTCTCCTATACATTTCGCGTTAAATTTTGAAATAAGGAAGTCATCCCTGAACTTAAGCTCAGAGAAAACGTAAGAGAATACAAGGGTAACTTTAACTGACTATTCTGGGTTGGGTTCGAGGTAGAAGGTGGTGTTCCAGGTGTTCATGTCGGTGACGTTGATGGATGGATGGAGCCAGAATGGAGCAGAGTTGATTGGTAGAGGGTAAACATTGGGCCTCATCTCGTAGAAGTAGCAGCCGATACCCACGTTGTGGTAATATACTGGACTCTGTGGGAGGAGGAGGTGTTGATCAACACAATGTGTGGGTAAGTAAGTAAGTAAGTAAGTTTATTCAGGTATACACAAATACAGTTACATAGAATTATCATACATAGCAACATATGTGTAGAGAACCTGGGATAACCCAAAAAAGTCAGACAGAGTGACTTATTTCCATTACAAAGAAGGCCACTAGCATGCCTAGGTATTTCGGGCAGAAAAACGACAGAAAACCACATTATTTGGACTATATAGTCTATAAAGTTATTAACAAGGGATATCGCAGGACGCCAATGGAAATAAATAAGTCACTCTGACTTTCTTGGATTATCCATGGTAATATACTTGTATGATAATTGAAACCTATATAGTACCTGTACCTAAATAAACTTACCTACGGTCCTCTTTTCTGAGATGCTAAATACGTAAGAAAATTAAGTAAATTAGGCACAAATGTCTTACTAAGTATATGTTGAATACCCAGAATAACCCAAAGAGTCAAATTGAGTGATTTATTTCTTAGAGAGCTGTGGGACCTCAATTTCTAGATGGAAAAAGCACCTGTTTTCCAACTGTGACTTGTACATTAGATGAGAAAGATACATATTTAAGAGTTAGGTATCTAGGCTTGTAGTTTATGACTCTCTGATCGCGGGTTCTAACCCCACCCGTGTTATGGTTTGTTTGCAATCGTGTCATTACGATTTCGTGAGTCGGTTAGGTATCTTCATTTTGGAAACGTTTCGCCCAGACAGCAGGTTTTATCAGCCGAACTAGTGGAGCCAGCAGAAGGACCTTTATTCATCCTGTATTCGACTGAAGATGACTTCTCATTCTCCCCAAAAGGTCAAACAGCCATTTACATCACGAGATGGTAACCTTGTATAGACGTTTAGGTGGTTCATTACCTTTGCAATTTGCCATGATTGTGACCAAATCTACCTGGAGTTCATTACCTTTGTAACTAGTTCAGCTATCATAACTTTGGGGTCCAGTCCCTGGACTCATTATGTACCTTTGTAATCTTTTGACTGCCGCCCACAGGATGGGTATGGGGTGACTACCGCCCACAGGATGGGTATGGGGTGACTACCGCCCACAGGATGGGTATGGGGTGACTACCGCCCACAGGAGGGGTATGGGGTGACTACCGCCCACAGGATGGGTATGGGGTGACTACCGCCCACAGGATGGGTATGGGGTGACTACCGCCCACAGGATGGGTATGGGGTGACTACCGCCCACAGGATGGGTATGGGTGACTACCGCCCACAGGATGGGTATGGGGTGACTACCGCCCACAGGATGGGTATGGGGTGACTACCGCCCACAGGATGGGTATGGGGTGACTACCGCCCACAGGATGGGTATGGGGTGACTACCGCCCACAGGATGGGTATGGGGTGACTATCGCTCACAGGATGGGTATGGGGTGACTACCGCCTACAGGATGGGTATGGGGTGACTACCGCCCACAGGATGGGTATGGGGTGACTACCGCCCACAGGATGGTATGGGGTGACTATCGCTCACAGGATGGGTATGGGGTGACTACCGCCTACAGGATGGGCATGGGGTGACTACCGCCCACAGGATGGGTATGGGGTGACTACCGACCACAGGATGGGTATGGGGTGACTACCGCCCACAGTATGGGTATGGGGTGGCACACCTTCGTTCTGGAGGTCCAGCATCAATGCTGCACTAGTGACTTCCATGCAACTTGCTACCACACAGCCGGTGTATACCTGGAGTTTACCTGGAGAGGGTTTCGGGGGTCAACGCTCCCGCGGCTCGGTCTGAGACCAGGCCTCATGGTGGATCAGGGTCTGATCAACCAGGCTGTTACTGTTGGCCGCACGTAAACCGACGTATGAACCACAACCAGGTTGGTCAGGTACTGACTGTAGGTGCTTATCCGGCGTCTTCTTGAAGACAGCCAGGGGGTCTTGAAAACAGCCAGGGGTCTTGAAGACAGCCAGGGATCTTGAAAACAGCCAGGGATCTTGAAAACAGCCAGGGATCTTGAAAACAGCCAAGGATCTTGAAGACAGCCAAGGATCTTGAAGACAGCTAGGGGTCTTGAAGATAGCCAGGGATCTTGAAGACAGCCAGGGATCTTGAAGACAGCCAGGGATCTTGAAGACAGCCAGGGATCTTAAAGACACCCAGGGATCTTGAAGACAGCCAGGGATCTTGAAGATAGCCAGGGATCTTGAAGACAGCCAGGGATCTTGAAGACAGCCAGGGATCTTGAAGACAGCCAGGGATCTTAAAGACACCCAGGGATCTTGAAGACAGCCAGGGATCTTGAAGATAGCCAGGGGTCTTGAAGATAGCCAGGGATCTTGAAGACAGCCAGGGATCTTGACGACAGTCAGGGATCTTGAAGATAGCCAGGGGTCTTGAAGATAGCCAGGGATCTTGAAGACAGCCAGGGATCTTGAAGATAGCCAGGGATCTTGAAGGCAGCCAGGGATCTTGAAGACAGCCAGGGATCTTGAAGGCAGCCAGGAATCTTGAAGACAGCCAGGGGTCTTGAAGATAGCCAGGGGTCTTGAAGACAGCTAGGGGTCTTGAAGATAGCCAGGGGTCTTGAAGACAGCTAGGGGTCTTGAAGACAGCCAGGGATCTTGACGACAGTCAGGGATCTTGAAGATAGCCAGGGGTCTTGAAGATAGCCAGGGATCTTGAAGACAGCCAGGGATCTTGAAGATAGCCAGGGATCTTGAAGGCAGCCAGGGATCTTGAAGACAGCCAGGGATCTTGAAGGCAGCCAGGAATCTTGAAGACAGCCAGGGGTCTTGAAGACAGCCAGAGATATTGACGGCATTCAGGGGTCTTGAAGACAGCCAGGGGTCTTGAAGACAGCCAGGGGCCTATTGGTAATCCCCCTTTTGTATGCTGGGAGGCAGTTGAACAGTCTTGGGCCCCTGACACTTATTGTGTTGTCTCTTATCGTACTAATGGCGCCCCTCCTTTTCATGTCACATAAGATTTTGTTCGGATTTTTAACCCTGGAGGGTTAGCCACCCAAGATAACCCAAGAAAGCCAATGCGTCTTCGTCAACTGTCTTATTTCAAGTGGAGTCCTTAAATCTTGTCCCCCAGGATGCGACCCACACCAGTCGACTAACACCCAGGATGCGACCCACACCAGTCGACTAACACCCAGGATGCGACCCACACCAGTCGACTAACACCCAGGATGTGACCCACACCAGTCGACTAACACCCAGGATGCGACCCACACCAGTCGACTAACACCCAGGATGCGACCCACACCAGTCGACTAACACCCAGGATGCGACCCACATCAGTCGACTAACACCCAGGTACCTACTTACTTGATAGAACGGAATAGCAGGTGTAAGAAAACACGCCCAATATTTCCACCTCTACCGGGGATCGAACCACGGACACTCAGTGTGTGTAAGGATTACATGGGAGAGACTTCACGAAACATTGACATCAAAATTTGGAAATGCAGACACGTACGTAGTAACATACATAAATACAATATATATATATACATATATGCGTGTGTGTGTTCGTGTACTCGCCTAATTGTGGTTGCAAGGAGCGAGTCACAGCTCCTGGCCTCACCTCTTCACTGGTCGCTACTAGGTCCTCTCTCTCCCTGCTCTATGAGCATTATCATACCTCGTCTTAAAACTATGTGTATGAATGTGTGTGTGTGTTTGTGTGTGTGTGTGTGTGTTTGTGTGTGTTTGTGTGTTAGTTACCATTTTGTCCTAGGCACATGTCGATTAGACACTAGGCCTGTTGTGTGTGTGTGTAGGTGTGTAGGTGTGTGTGTGTGTGTGTGTGTGTGTTTGTGTGTGTGTGTTTGTGTGTGTTTGTGTGTGTGTGTGTATGTTTGTGTGTGTGTGTGTGTGTGTGTGTGTGTGTGTGTGTGTGTGTGTGTGTGTTTAGTGTGTGTATGTGTGTGTGTGTGTGTTCAGTGTGTGTGTGTGTGTGTGTGTCAGTGTGTGTGTGTGTGTGTGTATGTGTGTGTGTGTCAGTGTGTGTGTGTGTGTGTGTCAGTGTGTGTGTGTGTGTGTGTGTATGTGTGTGTGTGTGTGTCAGTGTGTGTGTGTGTGTGTGTTGTGTGTGTGTGTGTGTGTGTGTGTGTGTGTGTGTGTGTGTGTGTGTGTGTGTGTCTGCTGGCTCCCACACGGGGAGCGACGGGCCAGCTGTGTCGACAGGTGCCTGTAATAACTGGTAGGTACTACACACATGTACACACGTACGTGTGTGTGTGACGCAATTCTTGTCTGCATAAATAACGCATTACGACTGTAACCAGATATAAACACCTAAATAGTGCATTACCACTGTAACTAATTCAGCTATCAGAACTTTGCGGTACAGTTCCTGGACCCATTATGTACGTCTGTAATCTTTTGACTACCACCCACACCGCGGGTATGGGGTACATAATTCAGATAGTGAACCAGCTTCGGTTAGGTTACAACACACTAGCATATGTCACAGTATATAACAGTACTGAGCACAATCAGTGCTCTGTCAGTGTAACAAAACCTCTCTTATACCTAGATCACAAACTGGAGGTCCGGGGTTCGATCCCCGGTACGGTTGGAAAAATTAGGGTGTGTTTCCATAAGACACCTATTGTCCATGTTCACTCATCAGTACAATGGGTACCTGGGTGTTAGTGGACTGGTGTGGGTCACATCCTGGGTGTTAGTGGACTGGTGTGGGTCACATCCTGGGTGTTAGTGGACTGGTGTGGGTCACATCCTGGGTGTTAGTGGACTGGTGTGGGTCACATCCTGGGTGTTAGTGGACTGGTGTGGGTCACATCCTGGGTGTTAGTGGACTGGTGTGGGTCACATCCTGGGTGTTAGTGGACTGGTGTGGGTCACATCCTGGGTGTTAGTGGACTGGTGTGGGTCACATCCTGGGTGTTAGTGGACTGGTATGGGTCACATCCTGGTGTTTAGTGGACTGGTGTGGGTCACATCCTGGGTGTTAGTGGAACTGGTGTGGGTCACATCCTGGGTGTTAGTGGACTGGTGTGGGTCACATCCTGGGTGTTAGTGGACTGGTGTGGGTCACATCCTGGGTGTTAGTGGACTGGTTTGGGTCACCCTCCTGGGTGTTAGTGGACTGGTGTGGGTCACATCCTGGGTGTTAGTGGACTGGTGTGGGGCACATCCTGGGTGTTAGTGGACTGGTGTGGGTCGCATCCTGGGTGTTAGTGGACTGGTGTGGGTCACATCCTGGGTGTTAGTGGACTGGTGTGGGTCACATCCCGGGTGTTAGTGGACTGGTGTGGGTCACATCCTGGGTGTTAGTGGACTGGTGTGGGTCACATCCTGGGTGTTAGTGGACTGGGGTGGGTCACATCCTGGGTGTTAGTGGACTGGTGTGGGTCACATCCTGGGTGTTAGTGGACTTGTGTGGGTCACATCCTGGGTGTTAGTGGAATGGTGTGGGTCACATCCTGGGTGTTAGTGGAATGGTGTGGGTCACATCCTGGGTGTTAGTGGAATGGTGTGGGTCACATCCTGGGTGTTAGTGGAATGGTGTGGGTCACATCCTGGGTGTTAGTGGACTGGTGTGGGTCACATCCTGGGTGTTAGTGGACTGGTGTGGGTGGCATCCTAGGTGTTAGTGGACTGGTGTGGGTCACATCCTGGGTGTTAGTGGACTGGTGTGGGTCATATCCTGGGCGTTAGTGGACTGGTGTGAGTCACATTCTGGGTGTTAGTGGACTGGTGTGGGTCACATCCTGGGTGTTAGTGGACTGGTGTGGGTCACATCCTGGGTGTTAGTGGACTTGTGTGGGTCACATCCTGGGTGTTAGTGGACTGGTGTGGGTCACATCTTGGGTGTTAGTGGACTGGTGTGGGTCGCATTCTGGGTGTTAGTGGACTGGTGTGGGTCACATCCTGGGTGTTAGTGGACTGGTGTGGGTCACATCCTGGGTGTTAGTGGACTGGTGTGGGTGGCATCCTGGGTGTTAGTGGACTGGTGTGGGTCGCATCCTGGGTGTTAGTGGACTGGTGTGGGTCACATCCTGGGTGTTTTGTGGACTGGTGTGGGTCACATCCTGGGTGTTAGTGGACTGGTGTGGGTGGCATCCTGGGTGTTAGTGGACTGGTGTGGGTCACATCCTGGGTATTAGTGGACTGGTGTGGGTCACATCCTGGGTGTTAGTGGACTGGTGTGGGTCACATCCTGGGTGTTAGTGGACTGGTGTGGGTCACATCCTGGGTGTTAGTGGACTGGTGTGGGTCACATCCTGGGTGTTAGTGGACTGGTGTGGGTCACATCCTGGGTGTTAGTGGACTGGTGTGGGCGGCATCCTAGGTGTTAGTGGACTGGTGTGGGTCACATCCTGGGTGTTAGTGGACTGGTGTGGGTCACATCCTGGGTGTTAGTGGACTGGTGTGGGTCACATCCTGGGTGTTAGTGGACTGGTGTGGGTCACATCCTGGGTGTTAGTGGACTGGTGTGGGTCACATCCTGGGTGTTAGTGGACTGGTGTAGTAGTGGTTGTAGTGGTGATGGTTCTACTTTGGGTAATGGCTTTAGTTTTGGTGTTGGTGTTGTTGTTGATTTTGTTACTGACGACGGTGGCTAACCTGTGGTATTAAATAATGTTGGCGAGGCTGGCAAAGAATGAGATCAAGAAGGGAACCTCTCTAGAAAGTAGCTGAGATTATCTGAGTACACTACACAACATGTCGGTTCTCTGAACCATTCATCTACAAACACTACACAAGCACACAGTAACACTACTGACAATACTAGTGGCGAGGCTGGTGAAGAATGAGATAAAAATCACGAGTCTAGGATGAACTGAGGAGGTCTCTAGCAGGCAGCACATACATGAGGGACTCGTGACGTCACAGCAAGAAGGGAACCTCTCTGTAAAGTAGCTGGGATTATCTGAGTACACTACACAACATGTCGGTTCTCTGAACCATTCATCTACAAACACTACACAAGCACACAGTAACACTACTGACAATACTAGTGGCGAGGCTGGTGAAGAATGAGATAAAATCACGAGTCTAAGGTGAACCTTCAACACTCTCCTTGAGATACCGGTTTCAGAAGAGCTATAAAACCCGTGCTTAACACCGCTCAAGGTCCTGACATCCTTACCACAAGATCATGGGAGTTTTTTCCGCCTCTATTAAGTCATCTTTGCGTTTATTTCCTCAGTTTTTACATAAAAATTACCTGAAGACGACTTCGGGGTCAATGCTCGGGTAGTCTGTCCCCCAGATCGGGAATCCTGGTGGGTTGGCTAATCAGCAAGGCTGTTGGTGCTAGCTACATGCAGTCAAACGTAGGCACCACAGCCTGGTTCATCAGGAACTTGAAGAGTATATTAAGTTTCCATTTGAAAGCCATTACGGGTTTGTTCGTAATCCTCTCATCTATGAAGGGAGACTGTTGAAAGTCTTGGTCCCATAGAAAATTTTTTGGTGTAAATAAAATTTTAA